CACAATGACAACAACAGCTCTAAAGTCTAAAGTGTAAAAGTCACACCTTGGCTGTTGTTAAAGTTGTGGTCATGTGGTAATGGGGTGGAGCTGAGGCTCTCCAGGTGCTGCTGCAGGGTCTCCAGCTCTTGACCTAAACCAGGTCTATCAGATGTGAAGAGCTGATTCTGTTCAACCACTTCACTGATCCGCTCCAGCAGCTGGGTCACACTGAACAGATTCAGACATGAAACATTCTCACACCTCAAAAGAAGACGAACAGTCTCTGTACAGGCTGGAGTTAATGACAGCTTCTGTAATATGTTGACTTTTTAGTGCCTGCACATAAAAACTGTGTTGTACATGTTGCCTCAGCAGAAAATATGCTACATTTATGATCTCTCAAATCTAAAATAACTATTAAAATAATGTTGTAACATTCTAGCAACATTGATCACAAAAGTGGGCGTTCGATTCAAGCCTCTTCAGCTGCAGAGGCTGTGAGGGGCTTGGGGGGGTCAGAGGCCTCTGCACTGGACCCATCATGTGTAGAAGAACTGACCTTAGAGTGTGCTCGAGAAGCAGTGAACATATTTCCTACTCACGTGGAGTTCTTATATTGCAGGAAACCAAATTCATCTCTCTGTCCATCCGGGCAGAGCGACTGCATGATGGGAATGATGCCAGCCGAGGTGAGCGGCGCAGCGCTGTAAAAGGCTGGACATGAGGGGGGGAAATGGGACAGGTGCCACAGAAGGAGAAAAAGACACAGCCACAGACAGAGTGAGAGGGAAACAGAGGAAGTAAGTATGAAGGGTTGGTAAAGGAAATCAGACAGCAAACAGGACAATGAGTGTGAAAAAGGAGAAGGAGAGATTGTGTTAGAGTCAGAGAGGAGGGAAGCTGTCAGGCAGCAGTTAATGGCCACAGAGGCTCCTCCCACATGTCAGTGCTGAATATGAAGCCTTTCATCATGTTGTCATGGTCTGTGATGTTTTCCCACTTCTGTCCATAAATGCTAGCTCGACCATCTCACAGCCGCTGATAAAAGAAAATTTGGTTCCTGCTAATTGCTCCAAGTTTCCATGGTTACTGCTCCTGAAGCCTGTGGGTGTGGATTCATCGTACCCACAGAAACACTTCCCACTGTCCTCCTGCTCACTCTCATATCTGTATTGTACAGCTATGCCATTCTTACAGTTTCTCTTTCTTACCACATGTTTATAACCACTCTGCATGTCTTTTATCCTGTTCTCACCCCAACCAATCACAGCAGATGGCCCCGCCCACCCTGAGCCTGGTTCTGTCTGAGGTTTCTTCCTGTTAAAAGGGAGTTTTTCCTCTTTTAGTGCTCACAGGGGTGGGGATTCTTCTGGTTGTTGGGGTTTCTCTCTATTATTGGGTCTTTACCTGGAAATATAAAGCACCTTCAGGTGACTGTTGTTGCAATTTGGTGCTATATAAACAAAAGTGAATTATATTGAATTGAACTTCTCTCTTTAACGGTTGCCTACAGCTGTCGCAGTCTCTGGATTACATACTCTTACAGCTGCTGCCCTCATAAAGAAAGGTGTCTATTGCCAGCTTCTAGCCTTCGTTGTTTTACCCTGCATGGTGTCACTGCAGGTCTAAAGCTGAATGTTTCATTTGTATTGTATTTAAAAGTTTACGTTTAGGGAAATCCCCTGAAACACTTT